TTGCTTAGATCGTTTCGATCAACTGCCATTCAATTCAATTTGTGAGTTGTCGAAAGAACGGTTTATGAAGTTAATTGGAAACATTAATGTAAGCGCTACAAAGTCTTATTTGTTTAATATTACACACGAGTGGATGAACCATCATCATGTGAGTATATTATATTAAAAAATAACGTTTAGAGTAATATAATAATTAGAACTAGACAGAATTATAAGCCTTGATCACCTCTAATTATATTTCAATTATAAAATGAATTTCTAAAACTTCGGGGATATATATATATATATATATATATATGTATGTATATATCTCCCACACACCTATTATTTTGTTTTCTTATTATGCTATTATATTCTATTATACATTGATGTATTGCAATTCTACGAATAATAAAATCTCTTCTCTTTCGCAGGATTTTACAGTTCCTTTTAATATCATTGAGAATAAGAAAGCAAAAATGCTGTTACCTTGTATTATATCCTGTGAACATAATAATGGTGAACAATATATTCATTGCTGGGACGGTAATGATTTTTTTGAGCTAACCTCATTCGATTATCCTCCAGATATTATCGAACGTTGTTCCAAGACTGGTAAATCTCTTGAAGGAATGCAGATTACTGGCAAAGGTATGCACAGTCTGTTTCTTTATTTTATCTTATCTAAACCAGTTCTGTCTTATTTACTTATGTATTTATTGTTTATGTATAATATATATTAATTATGTATTATTACTTACGTATTATTTTATGCAATCTTTTTTTTTAAGGATACGATTTGTATCTTTGTGGCGGAGAATATGGTATTGATTCAGGAATATTTAACAAAAATATATGGCGTTATTCTTTGATATCTAAGAAATGGATTCTTGAGACAGAGTAAATTAATATCTTATCGATTAGATAAATGATAAAGAATAAGTAGACAAGTAATAGAATACACAGAATGTTGTCTGTTAAAATTGTTTACAAATATTTCAGGATGCCAGTTGAGAGAAAACATATGATTACTGTGTGTTTGAAAAACAAATTGCTGCTTGTAGGCGGTGTGGGACGGAATAAACAAAAACTGAAGACTTTTGATATCTATGATATTTATACAGGTAATTTTAATAGTGCAATTATACAATGTGCATTTCATTAATATTATAGGTATGCAGAGCATACATGTAACGATGTACCTAAGTATATACGTATATAACCGTATGTTACGCCCAAATATTGAAATCGCTCAGTGAGTGAAAGAAACATCCACAACGCGTTGTGGACGGTGATGATCGTCTAAATACCTAAATGGAGATATTATAAAAAATTCTATGATCAATACTTGTCCTTATTTCGACTAAATTTTAATTTCAAGTTTTTAGAAATAAGCTTGGAGTTAGATTAGGTTTTTTATGAGGAAGGGCTCCGCTTATATATGTATTTTCAAGTAAAAGAAAACGTTTGCGTAAAAAGTTAAAGGATACTTTTTATCTTTAATAATTTTATTTTTATCACATCGCGTCATAGTTGCTCAATAAGCGTCCACAACATGTTGTAGCATTTTCACATTGCCAGAACGCGTTTTGGTCAATTATCAAAAGACCACACACCGGAAAAATATCTCATTTCGGTATTTGGACGATCAGCACCGTCTACGACACGTTGTAAATGTTTTTTTCGCTAAACAAACGATGTTTGGGCATAATATTTATATATAATAATTTTTAACAGAGATTAGTATACAGTTCGTAAGAATATCGGAACAGCTGATTATCTAGAAAATATTGATTTATTAGAAAAGTTTTAAACAAAAATAGTAAAGTTTAAAAAGATCCATTAGCTGATGATATGTACACGGAAAAAATGACGTTGTATTAACAGCATTATTTTTTTGTATCAACAGCATTATTTTCTGTATCAACAGCATCAGTGTAATTGAGATAAAATTTATTGCAACATCAATATTAACAAACAAAAAAACATCAGATAATTGTTTTAATAATTTAAATATTTGGTTCATTAATATCCAATTGAATTAACTATTTATGCTTATGGCAGCCCGTGACGTCGACGTTTAATTAAAGCAATTTCATTTTTTCCCGTGTATTTGAGCTTTGGACTATCTTGAATAGCCCCGTCAAGATAAACATAAATATTTTAAATTGAAATCTTTACTTTTATTGCATATTTAGCCGAGACATTTTCAAAACACTGGTAACAAATTTTTTTCAAATAAGAACTTTCGAGTTATAAATCCTCAAAATTTAAGTATTGTCAGCATTAGCATTACCCAAAATGTACCACATGGAGGTTTCCCAGTTGGATTTATAGTATAAATTTTATACCTTTTCTTGTGTATGTGCGTGTGTGTGTACACGTGTTTGTATGCGCGCTTTCACTTGTGTTTGTACATAGTTATAGATGCGTCTATGTATCATATTTTATTAAATGTTCAAATTGATATTCTTCTGCTACTTGGCATTGAAGAGTAAGGTGTAATGGAACCTACAAACATAAATGATTCAAAAAAAATTGTATTAAATGTTTCAAATTTTATTGCACTACTAATTTTGAGAAATGTTTTAAATACACTTACGTTCGCTTGAAACGAAGTGAAATAGGACATCAATTTGAACATTTAATATAATAATGTGCATTCATAACCATCTACAAACACAGGTTAGGTCACCGTGCCACTACGTGGTATACCTTTGTTAATGCTAATGCCGGCTGTAATTTAACTTTGAAGGACTCATATCTCGAAAAGTTCTCTTGGAAAAAAAGTTTTATGTTAACGGCGGTTTTCCAGATTGTTTAAACAAGGGTTTTCAAGGTTAGTTAAAGTCCAAATAAATATCACCAACTAGTAGGTTCTTTAAATAACCCTATTATTTTTGCTTGAAACATTTTTCTAATAAACCAATACTTTCTGATATACAAAATAGTTCCGGAACTTTTGGTATGCTATGTACATTTTTTATACATATCAAGTCATAGGATTGCTTTTCATTATTATCTTTTATAAATTTAATGCTAATTCTTGAAATTATCTTTAAAATTATCTTTTATCGGTTACAAAAATTTTATTATATTTTTGCTTTCGTATTTGTACAATGCATAGGTGAGTGGTTGTCGTCAAGTGCAGAGATTCCTTTTACTGTGGAGTTTACCAATGTTTCTGAACATATCATTTTGAGTGATACGTTAATTGTATATCAATTTCTGCCTCATATTTATTATTATTTTCCTGATAAGAATGTATGGAAATACAGACCCGACCCTCATCCTTTTTATTCAAGTTTTGTACCATCTGTCGATGTGCCAATTCTGACGCTTCAAATTATGCTATACATTGGTAAATATTACAATTTTTCCACTAAGTTGAAGAAAATTTAGAGTTCACATTAGTATGTTTTGCAGATGTTATTGACCAAGAGGAGATGGCTTTAAAAACGATCACAGATACATGCAACGTGAAAGGTTGTAATCGTATAATGCAAACTTTACTTTGCTCAAAATATGCAAGATACGAGAGATACGAAGAGATAATAGACCCAGAACTTCGTTACTGCTTATTTTGTAAAATATATGGATATTCCTTCGTTGAATCTCCACCCTTTTGCGAATGTAAGTGTCTTGGCGAACCAATTCATCCACGATTATGTGTAGATCACGCAATACGCGACACAGATACATTACATTTGCACAGTATTCCTATTAGAGATCCACGAAAATTCCGTTCCTTGATCTCAACCAAAAACTCAGGCAGAAGATTTTTTAATCTACTTAATCCAGCTCACTTGCATGCAACGAATTTGGATCATATTTGATTTATATATAACTTACTGATTAAATATTTAATTGATTAAATCGATATATTTGTGAGAGAGAAAGAGGAAAGAAGAGATCAATCTAAATAAAAATCCAGAACCATTGCAAAGAAAGGAGAATATATCTATATATTCCAATAAATATGTTGATCGACTTTATTTTTATTTACCTGATGATATTCTATTGATTGTCATTTTCAAATTATTACGAATACCAAATGATAAACTTAATAATTGTGTAAGCCTAAAGCATCACTATAAGTAAATGCTTTATGTATGCAATTGTTATATAAGAAAAAGGACTCCACGCGATTCTTATGAGGAAAACGTTGCCGCTCAATTTAGCAGAATTCAAGGGGTCAAGATTTGGTTCTCCCCTTTTGTAAGATCGAGTGCGCTGCAGCAGGCGCGAAGATCCGGGAATATACTCGTAAAGTTCGTGAGTATTCTTGAGTCGTCGCGTCACGGTAATAAATAAATCAAAGGCAAAGATCAGTTGTTTTGGCCCATTAGTCTAAATAAGGAGTCTCAGCTGATTTCGAGATTGCGTCGACAACTAACTTTATACCGACGTTAGAAAAAGTTGTCTCCCAAAACTAGGTTCTTTGTGCTTTCTCTCGGAGTCTAATACGCCGCAATTTGAAAGAAAACGCTTCCATAATTCAGCGTTAACGTAATCATTGAAAAGTTACTTTTTTTAAAAAGAAGGTAAAAAGAAGTCG